GGTTGTTCATATAAGGACCAATCACGGACGTTCCCGCTCAGGGAGCTTGCTGTAAAGTGATTGGCTAGGTGCTTCTTGGGCTAGCAATGCGATTGGATGGATTTGGATCCTAGCCCAGGACGAAGTTCAACATGGCAAGTCAATTAGAATGTTTCACATACATCATGCATTCAATGGCAGCTATTGAATACATTACAAGACCCCTGCAAGCCACTCCGGGTTCCTGTTGGGGAGAAAGGCAAGGTGCAAATGAAATAAATAAATGTGTTGAAGAATCTGGGGTTCAGTGAGCCTTTCTGCTTTTTCTGGGCTCTGTGGGTTTTGCTATGACTGACTTTGGTTTCTTGGTTCAGAAGTCCCATAAGCCTTTGCTCTTTTGCCGGCAGCCCAGGTGTAAAACTGAAGCCTTGCCCTGTAGACATACCTTTGCCTGAATTCACATTCCACGGCCTGCCAAGTGCCTGGCCCCAGAGCCTCAACGTGTCTGTCCTGGTCTTTTTGACATCGCAGTTAATAAAATATCTCTGGGCTGAAGGTCATACTGGCAAAAGTTCATCTTATCAATTTAGGATGGGCGGGTATTTGGCAGGTTTGGTATGTTTTTAATTGACTCCTCCCTTGATTGCTGTTGGCTGAAAAGAGAATGAAAAGGGGGCTTTGGGCTTTGTCCGGGTCTGTTTGACCAGCACCCCACCGAGGCTGGAGTGAGGTCTTGGTCCACAGTCCAGGAATTCCTTGTTCTTTCTGAAGTGAACACCATATGCTGTTGGGTATTGATACTGAATATATCTGTACAGTTTTAGAGTTAATCAATACTTTTAGTTTAAGGCAACTGTTCTTGTTGTGTTTCTTTCCCTCTGGAGGTATAATAAATAAAGTAATGAATGTGTGGATGGCAATAATAATAACAACAACAATAATAATAGTTGCAAGATCCCTACTGGCTAGATCCAGGTTGGGAAATTCCTGGAGATTTGGGGGTGAATCCTGGGGAGGGGAAAGGAGGGGAGGGGACCTGAGCCGTGTACAAGGCTTCAGAGTCCACCCTCCAAAACAGCCATTTCTTCCAGGGTAGTCTGGCGATGAGCTAAGGTTTATTCAAGGCGTGAGCTTTCGTGTGCAAGGCACACTTTCCCCAAAGGCACTGGAACGGCAGACGAGGTTCTCATGGACAGGGATTTAACAGCAAATTAACATGTAACGTGATGATGTTTAAGGTATGCAAAGTGAAAAGCTAAATAACAAGTTAAGGCTGTAAGAAGGACTATGAATGCTCTGGCATGCATATCTTGATCATCATCACGTTACATGTTAATTTGCTGTTAACTCCCTGGCCGTAAATGCAGAGCCTCATCTGCCATTCCAGTGCCTTTGGGGGAAGTGTGCCTTGCACGCCTAAGCTGGCACCTTGAACAATCCTCTGCTGCTGGTCTTGAAGGTGCCCCCACCGGACTCTCAGCCTGTTCTTTTTTTTTTTTTTGGTCGCTTTTTTAAATCTCATTTTATTTTTTAAAAAGAAAAAAAGCCCCACAAAATCATGACATTTAAGGTGGTTATTGAATTTGTCTGTCACAGTCTGTGTTTCTGGGAATTAACAGAAATTGATTATTATTAATTTAAACCACACACCAGAGTAAGACTAAAAATCAGGCTGGAGGGTGACTGAAGGAACAGTCCTCAGTGGGTGTCACCAAAATTAAAGAATGAACAGCCCTGACTGGGGGTAAAGGGAGTTGACAGGGAAAGACCCTGGGCACCTGGACAGAGAAGATCAACGGATAGTTTTGACTGGGCTCTTGAAATTACTGGCAGCCTGAAGTTGCAACTGGTAAGCCATGGGATGGATCTTGAAGCCATAAAGCCTGGGCACAAACTGGTTGGCTGGTCGTTTCGGCCGGTACTCGGGGTGCACCATGAACAGCATGTGGGGAAAGCCAGTCCCAAAATAGGCCCCATCCGTATGATGGTGGCGGGAAGATTTGGGGGTGTAGACATCCATGCACTTTGGGCAGTACAGTTTGACCATGGCCTCCCCAGCGATACCAGACAAGCCAATAGGCAACATGGGCTGGTTCTCACAATAAACTCGAGGACAGTAGCCAAAGTCTCCCTGCTGGTATTTCTCAAGCATCTGGGCAATGCCGCGATTTGTGAGGATATAGCGGGCATGAATGAGCCCATACAGCATCTCAGCTGCCTGTTCAATCAAGTCACTCTGGTTAGGATTGTGCTCGAGCTCCTCATCTGGTTCCAAATCCAGAATCATATCCAAGGCCTGGCGATAATGGGGAACTTGCTCATTGAGACCAGTTAGATTGAATTTGTCTTGAATGTAATCTTCATCCACCTCACAGAAGAACTCATTGCCACGCAAGCCACAAAACCAGGAAATCCAGGATACTTCCTCAGAGCTACTCATCTTCCCGTCCTCATCCCTGATGCTGGTACTGCTTCGCCGGCTCATTCTGTCTGCAGTGCCAGTCCTTAGCATGGCTGTCATAATTAGATTCCTCTGTTAATTACCCATGCAAGTGTAGGGCATAGTGCTGTTTTTTCTGCCAAGCCAGGCGCTATTTTTATTTAAATGAGCCCCATTGAAAACCCTGCACTTCAAGGGAGAGAAGGGGGGACTGGGCGGTCGTATGCAAGTCACCGACTCTCAGCCTGTTCTGCTGCTTCAGACCAACACGGCTGCCCCACCTGGAGACGCGCGGCAATCCCCGGAGGGCCGGACCCCTTAACACAGTCAATCCGGGGGCACCCGGCGCCTCCCTCCCCGACTCGCAGAAGGCCCGGGGCGGGGCGAGCAAGCAAAACGAGGCCCCTCCGGCGAATCCCGACATGGGGGGGGGGGCGATTAAAGACCCCCCCCCGCGAGGCTTTTCCCCCCCCCCCCCCGGCCCGCACCGGCGAGGGGGGGGGGCG